TTTTTGTTTGTTTCTGTTTTTTTTTTTTTTGGTGTGATTTTTTTTTTTTTTTTTTCCTTTATTGGTAACAAGGATTACAAATGCCCAGAAGTAGAGATGCTTATGTATTAGGAGAGGAATAGCAAAATATAGATTTAAAGTTTGTTTGTAGAGCTTAGCATTAGTCTCACTGAGCCAGAAAGATTCCACAACATTGTATAGCTATGTGGAGCGGGGGTTCACTGTAAGTAAGGAGGGCTTATAAACTATTCCAGTTGTTACATCAACTTTGTCAATATTTGTCTGGAAATCTTGAGATCTTAGCAGAATTACTCAGCCCATCCATGCTGACTTTCTCTTGTTATAAACTGGGAAATCAGAATATCTACTCTTATACATCTCTAATACTTTTAAAGATTGTATGAAATAAAAGCTAATGTTTATACAAAGTCATCTTATACCCCTCAAAGAGTGTTATTATTAACATTACTGTAATTGTGTGGCGAATTGAAGGTTGTGGTCCTGGAAATACTTGAGAGCGAGTAGTTTTCTTTTGTCAGGATGCAAAGTTATGGATGTTCTTCATGAAAGAACTATTTCTTCCCCAACTCTGCTAAGTGTTTCTGAGGAAAGAAAACTGTGTCTAGCTCTTGAGTTTCCAACCCGCTTAAAATTATTTGCTTTATTATGAACTACCCTTAAAGCTTAGCAAGGAGGGGGGTTTCCTCCCTTGAGTCCTAAAGTTCAGAAAAAAATCCCTCTTTACTCTTTTGGTCACATTCCTCCTAAGAGCTAGAAATCATTAAGAGCTAAGGGGAATGGGGCAAAAATTCCTAAGAGCTAAGAATTACCCCTCAGAGTCCATGCCTCTACTTCTAGAAAGCACTCTAGCTATCCAGGACCTGAAGATTCTCTGTTCACTTATCCTGAGTCCACTTCCAGGGCCTGAGCATGTCTACCTCAGGTCCATTTCTTGAACACAGAGGGTGCTGCTGGTATGTTTGCCCCTAGATTCAAGAGGGTGACCAAGAGGCAGTTATTTGTTGAGGGGATGAGGACAGAGTTTGGATGTGCAGTCGTGACTACATGCTTATATGTGAGGTCCTAACAGTATAGTGCAATATTGGATTGAGGGATAGGAAGAAGGTTGAGCTGGAGTCCGAGGACTGAGGGATGGCTTTCTTTAGCCCATCCTATTCTATAGCTAATCTTAGAAAATTCTCCAAATTCAAAATTTGACCAGGCCTTCGAGGTTGTTTTGATGATGTATTGTTAAAGATGAGGGAGAGAACAGTTTGCAATGGAAATCTTTTATGTAACGGTTTATTTAGCTGATTTATAATTTAAAAATGCAATTATATGGCAGGAGACCTTTATTTGAATCTTTGCTCTAAGCCCTTTTAAGCTGAGGACTGACCTGAAATGTCCTATACTAGTTTCAGTTTAGAACATTTTATAAATAAATTATAGTATATATCCATAATTAAGAATCCAAAAATACAAATGGCTTTATTACAGATAGGATGAATTTTTCTCTGTACATTGCAAATCCTGTTGACTGATACTATTCTCATTCTTCAAACCACATTTTAATCCTGCTGCATAGTATTTTGATTCATCATAATCTCAAGAAATTTTACATGGAAATCATATACAATAACTCAAGTAACAGATTATAAAAGTCTTGTATAACATAACATTTAAAAAACTCGTTCGTGTTTTCTAGAAATGTTTTTATATGTAAATCTCCCAAGAAGTGACATTAAAACTGTTTTCTTGATACTACAATTTGCTCCATATATATTTTCTTCACATATATGTAACATGGGAGCTCTGGTAGTGTAGTGCCTAAAGCACTTGACTGCTAACCAAAAGGCTGGCAGTTCAAACCCACCAGCCACTCCTTGGAAAGAAGATGGGGCAATCTACTTCCATAGTGATACTGCCTTGGAAACTCAAGGAGGGGTCGCTATGAGTTGGGTCCAACTCAACGGCACATAACAACAAAACAACAACATATGTAACATGATATTGGGGATGTATAACTTGTCTTGAGGAGATGTGGACCATATGGGAAAGATATTGAAAGACTCTAATGGGGCAAAAAAACACGAGTTGGTGTTGTACCATTTAAATACATTATTTATGGGCCTTACATAAATATGGACACAGATTCAGTTACTGTCTGACCCTCAGGAGCACAGACTTAGTCGCTTATAACCATCAAAAATACATCCAGTATCTTATTTTAAAGGCATGTAGGGCATGTCTTTTGCTCTTTATCTGGCAAGTGACTTGCAATACTTTTTTAATATTAAAAAAAAAAAAAAATTACCATGTAGTTGATTCCAACTCATAGTGACCCTATAGGACTGAGTAGAACTGCCCCATAGGGTTTCCAAGGCTGTAATCTTTATGTAAATGGAGTACTACATCTTTCTCCCATAGAGTGGCTGGTGAGTTCGAACCACTGACCTTTCATTTAGCAGCTGAGCACTTAACTACTGTGCCACTAGGGATCCTGTTTTAATATTTAAGAAGCTATTAATTTTATGTTACTTACCCCCTCTAAATTATATTTCATATTGTCCAGGTACACCAGCTTTGAATTTTTATTTCAGTACTGCCAGTAATATATTAGTTCTATTTTGCTTTAAAAGTTCAAGAGTAAAATTGTATCTTCTGGAAGTAGTTTTAAAGCACTGGAGTAACAGTATAACCAGGGCCTATGAAAAATTAATCTGTGGGTATCCAAATGTATTTTACTACCCACAAAATTGCTGCAATTAAGTTAACACATCTGTACATCATACATTACAATCAAGAAGTTTGATTTCTAGATATTTTGTTTTGTTGTTATCCGTTCTCTCATCTTTGCTGAAAGAATATTAAATAACCTCTTAGGAAATCCAGTGTATTTATCAGTGAATTATTGATTTATTTTCTGCCAATTGAGGTTGAACAAATAGCACATAGAAGCTATGTTCTATCTGGTTAAAGGTCATGCAAAAAATACTTCACAAGTCAGTTTCAGTTTACTAGGCATCTGTGATCCAAAGGTTATCCTTTCAAAAGCCTTCTAGAACTTTTTATTGCTTAATTCAGTATACTATAAATGTTGTGAAAATAAAAGAAACATACGTGAAAGGTAGCATGATTGTGCTCTAATAGAACTTGACATTAATTATGACATGGGAAATGGAAGGAGTATTAGTTATAATTATAATTACAAGAATGCAATTTTAACTGCTGAACATTTAAGATAAAAAATGCAAAATATTATGTTAGTAGATTAGGTTTTTTATTCAAGATTGAAGAAAATCTCAGATAAAAAGACACTGAGGAGGGAAAAAAATTAGTATTTAGAACTGATTATAGTAAAACAGTACAATGTAATAATCATAGTGTTGATGCTAAATTCTAAAATGTCTGATATACATTATTGTCATTTTCCTTCTCTTCTTTGCAGCAGTAGTGCTGCATAAAGTGAAAGGAGTTTTTATTTGTTTTCCCTTGGTCCAATATGTTCTTTATCTTGAACCTTTGGTCCAGTGACCACATAAAAACTGAAAACAAAATTCAGTGCTGTTGAGTCGATTCGACTCATAGCGACCTCTACTTGGGTTTCCGAGGCAGTATCTCTATGGAAGTAGATTGCCCAATCTTCCTTTCGAGGAGTGGCTGGTAGGGTTGAACCACCAGCCTTCTGGTTAGCAGTCAAATGCCTTAGGGACTATGCCACCAGAGCTCCCATAGAAAAGATTAAATATACATTGAATGCTCCATTTGGAGTGCTTTATACAGTGTCTGTTAAGTCCCTAATCAGATTGAATAAGTATTACTTTTTAAAAATTAACCCTTTTAGAGCTGAAGAATAGAAACGTCCAGATTAATCACAGCAGTCCTATAAGCATAAAGAACGTTAAAGAATGACATTATACTGTCATACATTGCAAGCCAGTGATTTTCTATTAGTATGTGTCCAGGGCAGCCTTAGAAGAGGGAGAGACAATTACTACATTATTTGGTGAGATTCAGGATCATCCCTGCACAATGCTTGCAGTCCCGACAACAGTGCATTATTCCTTTATACTTTGTGATATTTTAAAAACTTTAACCTAGATGTTGGTCGGAGGGGTGATACATTAATAAAGTGCTTTTAGACTCTTCTATTTTTGTTCTGAGGAGTTCTGGTAGTGTAGTACCTAAGACACTAGACTGCTAACCAAAAGGCTGGTGGTTCAAACCCACCGGCCACTCCTCAGAAGGAAGGTTGGGCAATCTATTTCCATAGTGATACTGCCTCAGAAACCCAAAGAGGGGTTGCTATGAGTCCAGTCCAACTCGACAGCACATAACAACAACAACAACATTATTGTTCTAATTAGTTTGACACACTTTCCCAGCCAAATAGTGGAATTGTTTAATTGAAGAGTTGACAATGAGGAAA